GACCAGCTATGTAAACAAGCGGGCCGAGAATGCATCATCCCCTTAGAACAGGATATGTCTGGAAACCCAGTGATGTAAACAAACGGTCCCTGAATGCATCATGCCTTTAGAACAGGTCATGTCTGGAAACCCACTGATATGAACAAACAGTCCCTGAATGCAACATGCCTTTAGAACAGGTCATGTCTGGAAACCCACTGATGTAAACAAACGGTCCCTGAATGCATCATGCCTTTAGAGCAGGTCACATCTGGAAACCCACTGATATGAACAAACGGTCCCTGAATGCATCATGCCTTTAGAGCAGGTCACGTCTGGAAACCCACTGATATGAACAAACGGTCCCTGAATGCAACATGCCTTTAGAGCAGGTCACGTCTGGAAACCCACTTACATTCCTAAAACAGGAAGAGCAGGGCTATGCTGATAATAGAGGTGTGTCCATCACCATGGTAACAGTTCCTACAATAAAGTGTTATTTATGTAAATGAGAACTAACATGTTAATAGGTTGTTCCAAACCAGCCTCTCTCTCCCGTTAAACATCCTTACATATCATGCCAATAACTGTGGAGGGTTTGAACACATTATCTTTCAGCTTGAGGTGGAGAGATCAAAAAGCTTATTCCTAAAAACAGAAGAAAGCAGTGCTAAATTTTTGTCCAAAACACATATCTGCAGCAGCTCACTGGGCTGCACAGTGAAGACACATTGTGCAATAAACTGGTTTCTCCAGTTGCATTTGACCGTCTGAGTCATGACTTGTTACAGGAGGAGCTGAGAGCAGCAGACAAGAGACAACATGAAACAAAGAAATCTGAAACATTTCAAACTTCACTTTATTCTAATACATAGCAGTAGAAAAATAATAAATATTCAAGTACAAAACATAATTTTGTGTAGATAAACAGAAGGATTTCTCTAGTTGAAAACATTAACATGATGTTTTCAGTTTTTCTGAATGGTGTAAGGAATTTTTTTCTCTTTGTTTATTCAGGTTTCTGTCTTCTGTTGAATCTCTGTTTTCCCATCTATCCCAAGATTGAGAACACCCGTTTGTCTCCCTGTGTACTTAAACCCACTCGTGTTCCTTGTTGGGTCCGCAGGAGTCTTGTCTGCCGTCAAGTTTGTTGTCAGTTTTTTGTTTTACCACCAGTTGCTACCAGAGCAACAGGTGGTAAATCAGCACAGAGTGATGATCCAGGCATCACTCTGCTGCCTGGATCCTTGTGTAAACCAACATTTCCTCTCCACAACCTGGGTCCACTGCGTCTGCCTCATCATCTCATCACCACATGTCTTGACAAAGAGAACATTTTAGTCAGCAGCAGAACGTCCAGCGGAGCAGCAAACGATGCAGAACGTTCAAACGTCTCCATGAGGCTCAGAACCAGCAACTCTTCACTGGGTCGGTTTGATCCCTGCTGCAGCGTTTCTAGATCAGCTGAGGTCGTTACTGGTGATTCTCCTCACACTGTCCATTCATCTGGAGAGGTTGAAGGTCTGAGATGCGTTTCCTTAAATCTGTTCTCATTTCTTCAGTTTTTGTGGCGTTCAGTCAGATCTTGTTCACTGAAAATCTCCCAGTCAGACCTTGATCTGTATTCAGACTCAACTTCATGGCACAGAAAAAAGAAAACACTTCACTTCAGGTGTTTCCTCTTTCTGGAGAAAATCCAGATCCTTTTCTCATGTTCATCTGAAAGTCTGTGGGATTCCTGCAGAGTCTGTGAGCTTCTTTAGGAAGAACCTTCAGGGGAACACAAGAAAAAGTCCAGAGTCAAACAAAGAGCATCATTAGAGCATCACCTGCAGCATCATCATGTCACCGCTGATGAGTCAGACTCACCTGGTTTTATCGATGCACCGCAGACTGATCGACTCAACTCGCTCCGTCTCCATGGTTTCCATGATGCTGCGGTTGATCAGGAATCACAATGAGAGACTGGATGGAGTTCTGGTCCACATCATCACAGCTCTGCTCTGGACCAAAGCATCCAAACTGAGAGGCAGAGGCCCGACTTAGGGGGTTCTGCTGAAATCTGTAACAGATTTATTAGTTTTTATTAATCATCTGATGGTGATTATAAGAAAGAAGCGCTGATTTATTTTAATTATTTCTGACTTACTTTGTGATTGTGGAGCATTTTTTTAAGCTGAAGATGACTAAGATGAAAAGTAAACTCATAGAAATGATGAAGAGAATGATGGGGATTAAAAGAAACATCCTGGACCGATGACCTGAAATAAAAGAAAAACATCAGAAAACACATAAAACCCAACAACAAGTTAAAACCTGGTTTATTATCAGTAGCATCAGTTTGGACCTGCAGGCTCACCGCTCCTCATGGTTTCCTCATGTAGCATCAGACTGATGAGGTTTCTGTCGGGAACCGTCATTATAGCAAAGTTTGGACCTGAAACAGAAACAATAACAGATTTTATGAGAAAAACAATTAAAACTTGAAGTTTGGACCCGTTTACTGACCAACAACAAGCTGCTGACAACTAATTGTACTTCAATTTTATTTTGTTATGACTTTTTGTCTAATTCAGTTAGTTTTAATTAGTATTTAGAAAGTGTTTGCTAATTTGCTTCAGTTGGAGAACCAAAGGACATTACATCTCTAATTTGAGGATGTTTTAGTTTTGTAAATGTTCAATATAGCTCCATTTAGTTATAGTTTCTTTCCCATTAATTACAGTTTTTATTTATTTCAGTTAACAAAAATGTTTACTGGATTTCAGTTTGTTAGTTTTTGTTCATTATAATCTTGATGGGAACACTCCAGAGACCCACTGTCCCAGGGGTGGGCAGTCCTGGTCCTAGAGGGCCGGTGTCCTGCAGCTCTTAATGTCTCCCTGGTCCAACACACCTGAATCCAACAGCTGAATCACCTCCTAAATTCAGTCAGGTTCTCCAGAGTCCTGCTAACGACCTCATTATTTGACTCAGGTGTGTTGAAGTAGAGACACATCTAAAAGTTGCAGGAGTCCCTCCAGGCCTGGAGTTGCCCACCCCTGCATTATCCTCTGCAGATGGTTAGATTAATCAGATAGTTTTAGGTTCCTCCACCTGTTCATTTTCTCAATTTTATTTCTGTTTTCCAGCATTTAGGCTTTAAGGTTAAGAAATTAAGCTCAAACTCACCTGAGACGTTGAGTCGACATGTTTCAGATCCAAATCCATCTTCAGTTTTCACGTCACACAGATACAGACCAGAGTCTTCAGTCCTCAGTCTGGACACCTGGAATCTGATTCGTCCTTCTCTGAGGACGTCTTTGTCAATCTGGACTCGTCCTGAAAACTGATCATCCTGAGAATCTGGAATCTCAACTCCATCATGGACCTGATAGAGAACAAAGACTCCATGATCCATGATCGCTTCACAGTAGATGAACAGATCCCTGTAGGATCCCTGAGTCCTGGTGGTGAAGGTCCACTCCAGAGTGATGCTGTGGTTCTCTTCTGCCTCATAGCTGCTCTGGGTCACATTCACTACAAATGTTGCTGCTGAGGAGACAGAGAGGGAAAGGGAGGAGCCGACACACCGAGAACGGGAACATGGGAGTTTTTCAGCTCCATCTAGAGAGCTTTCTGTCACAAAGACAAGATGGAGACTGACCACAGAGACATGAGCTGAGGATGAGGAGCAGCAGGGAGATCATCTTCATCCTGAGAGAATAACTCCTCAAGATTAAGCTTCATGTGGTTCAAATTCTGTAAAAAAAAAAGAAAATCTTGTCTTAAGTACCAATTATTAGTGAATCCAAATAAATGAAAAGCCCTATACTGTTGATGTTAAAATAAGCCCTGAGTTTTTCACGTGTTGATGTTGGAAAAGTTTTTTATCTGCAGATTTAACCTTGGCTACAAATGAATGAGCATTCACTAAACAAATGCTATTATTGATCTTTATGCAATAAAATGCTTTTTGTTTAAAGGTGAACTTAAATGTTTGTTCATTGGCATGTATTAATGTACTTATATGAAAAAAGTCAAACTGGTTAAATCAAAAATCTGCAGAATTTGTCCATTTTTTTCATCTGGTTGGCTGTCAGAATAATTTATTTAAAAAAAAAACAATTACATAAAAATAGAATTTGTTTTCAACAATATTCTTTATTGTCCCATGGGGGAAATAAAGTCTGGTACAACAGCAGCAAACTGAGAGGATTACAGAATGATAAGAATATAAAATATATGAAAACAGAATGAAACACAAATTACAGTGATGCAAGGACAGAAAATTACTATAAATGCAGTTATTTTTAACAGCAAATTCTGGTTCAAAGTGCAACTGGTTAACAGAAAAAATGCAAAATGTGAATGTGTACTTTGAAAATTTAATTACATGACAATGAAAAGTGATCAACAGTTTATAAACAGCTGACTACAAAGTTTGCCATCATATTCACAAAAGGACCAATTAAACTTTAATGAAACAGTTTTTCTGGTGACAGTTTCATGTTAGTTAAAGAGAAAAGCAGCAGTGCTTACCTTTTAAAAGGGGTCCAGACCAAAACCATGAGTCCAAAATCCTGAACGGCTGAAGAAATTTCAGATATGCTGGTTGTATATATAACTGAGACACTGTACTCTCTGTTCTCTGCAGGAAAGTCCCTAAACTGCGAACGCAACGTTGGGCTTTTTATAGTGAAGAGAAAGAGGGTGGTGCTTAGCCGGTATTGTGTATTTCTGCCTTTTTTTCAAACTGTCAGGGATCACGTTGGAGGTTGAGTCACAGGAGCTCTACCACCAAATATAGTGTTAGTATTTATTTCTTTATTAGTATAGTTTGTGTTATTTCATTTAGACATATATTTTCTAATGGGTGCACACTTTAGTTAATGTCTGTCTGAATGGTTAATTTATACTTGTTTTTGTTTGAGGTGCCACTTATAGGAACCAGCTGGTGGAGGAACCTGGAGTAAACCATCTACAAACTTCTGAGACTGAAGGGGGAGATGCCAAGATTATTATTTAATTTTGTCACTTAAAATATTCACTTATTGTTTGTGCTAAGTTAAAGTTATTTTGCTTTATTTGTTTATAGAATCCTTTAGTTAATTTTGTATTTATTTGTTCTTTTGTCAGGTCAGACCTCCCTCAAGTGGTAGATTTAGGTTACTCCACCCCTATTTAAGCAGCCTTTGTTCTTTGTTTGGTAGGTCAGTTTTGTTTGTGTTTAGTTAGATTTCAGTTGACGTCAGTTAATTTGGATCCATATTTGTTATTTATCCTTTGATTTATTCTTGCTTTAAATCTGAATGTTTTGTCAACAATTTTTTTGAAGAATTAAAACTGAGACCTTTTCTACTTTGAACATTTTTTGTCCTTGTTTGAGTTTGATCCCACACAATAGTTCTCAGTAGAAGATCTCTTTAGCAGGTGGTTCTTGCACAGGCACATATCTTCAAAGCGCCCTGTACCTGTGCATGTGAAATACCCTG